GGGGGGGTGGAGGTTGTCTAAGAACTAATGAGGAGACAGTTTGAATCTCAGTCTGACTCCCACACCTAAACCCTCAAGACGCTCCTTGATAGTACTCGCAGAGATAACCAACAGAAAGAGGTGATGGTAGCCTGGAGGCCAGCTGGCATCATGTGGGCATTTAACTCCCAGTAGCACCAGCAGAGGAGCTCAGTCAGCTGGACTTTTCATCTGTTAATGTGTAGCTGTAGGAATGTAAAGCAGGGCGTGGAAAACAAAATGTACACTCATTCAACTTAACCTGCATTAAGAAGGATTTAGAAACAGGGATAGGTAGATGTTATACTACAATGTGGCCAATGATATATCAACACAGCCAAAGTGAGGACTGCTGTGGATCCATGTCCTTGACTCTTGTTTCTAAGTCTGCAGCCTTCCCTTCCCTTCTTCCTCCTTTTCCACGTTTCCTTTCCCCCAGTTCTGTCACAGAAACATGAATCTGGGGCTCCTGGGGTTCAGAGTCCCACAAGCTGCAGCCTGCTACGTCTGCCTCGTCTACTGCTCTGTCACCATGGTGACAGATGACTCCCGGTACTTTCTGTTGTCCTCTCGCCGGTTTCCTTTCTTTTCCTCTCTACTGAGCTCCCCTCACCTCACATCCACAATGCTTGCCAACAATGAAACACAGGTTGACAGGGGGTTGCAAGAGAAGTTGTCAGAGGTACCATCTAATACAAATAAAAGATCATTAGCTGCTTCAAATGACCAGAACCAATACGTTTACGATAATTTCACATTTTGGTGTTCTTAACCTGTAATGTATTGACACCTGAGGGTGAGAAAGGCTTAGATGTGTAGAGCAAATGTTGAATGCATATTCCATAGCTCTCACCTTACAAAAACCAACATTACTGTTGTAACACAACAAAAACAGAACAGTTCTGACTATTCAAATGTTCTTTTACTTTTGTAAAGAACATCAAAAACGTTTTTATTATTGCAAATTGCCATTGTGTTTTCCTCCTCTATCGGCGTGTGTAGTTGCTGCGCTTGTTTAGTCAATGAAAGCAATTTGGCCTCATATTTATGTGCTCTAATTTCATTATAAGAAGAAAGTATGATAATGTAAATGTCCCATTGTGGAGAGATAATTGATGTATGACTGTACGCTACATGCATGAAGGACTGAATGTGAAAGTTTACTTCAGTTACTTAAATCCTTTATAGTAGCCATGTCAATGTGTCGTTTGGAATTCATTGTGATGGCATAGTGTAATGAAACACATAAGATATATATTTTGATAGCCACTGGTTCTGTTTGTGCTTCTGCCAATGTTCTGTTTTTGTAGTGCACTTTTGTTTGTATGATTATTTAGAATATGATTTGGGTGCAAAATGTGCAGGACTAATAATTGATTTCAGGCAGACCTGAATTGAAACAGAAGAGTATGGAAACATATTCTTCACACATGTCTAAGTAATGTCCAGACCGGAGGTGTCCTGTAATAAGTACAGCATTAGCTGTAAATGCTTGTGGCATTATTACAGCCTTTTAATATTTCTGATAACCACTACAATTCAGGATGTATTCTTTAGGAGGAATAATTAAATTGCAACTTTGCTAAGCTAGAAGGTTAGCTGCCTTTCAACATCACAGGAGGTTGGTTTCATGACCAGGACTCAAAACGTGTGCTATGTAAACTCTGCTAGCAAATAGCTTACAAACACAGGGTGTTTCTCAATGTCGAGGACGCTTCCTTTGTAGGACATGTCTTCCGAGTCAGGTCCTTCAGAAGCGAGGCAAGAATCCTTCCTAGCCTCGGAAAACGAAAAATGGTGGAACAGGCTAACAGGTGTGCAGGTGTGCGTCATATGCGAGGCCCCGCCTTAAATGGAGCGCGATTTCCGCCGAAGATTTTGGAAATTGGTCCGTGCGCAAAGCATTGTGAGGATTTTAAGACCGCGGAGGATACACATGTGCAGCCTCAAAATTTCCCGCAACGAAGGACGCCGGCCTCGGTATAATTCCAAGGAACCTGGACATTGGAACAGTCCTTCGGCGGGACTCGATGACGTAGCATCCTTGAAATAGTGGCTCTGGAGGAGCCTTCCTCGACATTGTAAAACACCCACACATTGTTTAACTAGCTTGATCCAGTGCGGGGAAAGAAAAATAAGCTTGCTATGCAATCACGAGAAGCAACTCTACAACACTAAAACTCAGTTTGAGCTGTTGGTTAGAAGATGATCTCCCCCCTCCCTTAAGAAGTTGTTTTAGGTCCCATCCATGAATTGGCTTTACAGCACTTTGTGTAACCTTTTCTGTACTATATGTGGATTGAAATACTCTCTGCAGTCTGTAACCAGCAGATTTCAAATTTAGTTTAAATGACATGTGTAATTGTTAGACTAGAGTGTGCACTATAGTGCAGATATTGCATGCTATATACTGTAGTCATGTTGAGTTGAAAACAATGCCAAACAAAATGAGTCATCCTGAAAAGTGTGAACATCTCATGGCAGACCAAAACTCCATAGACAAGCAAAGATGTGTCTCCAGACATATAATAATTGTATAAGTATTAAGTAAAATCCCTTGTTCCATGCCTTACTTCATCTTTTTAATCAGGCCCTGCTGAGATCGGGATTAACAAACAGAGACGATACGTCATCATCAAACATTACTCTATGGAACCCCACTGTTGGACGGGATGAGTGAGGAGATTTGAGTCGGGGGTTCCACTTCAGAGAAACTCTCAGTTTAGAGGACAGATGTGGAAACAAGTTAGTTTTCCTCCAGCCTGTGAGTGTATACACTTTACCACATATGCTTTTTAAAATGGGGAATTGCACAGCTGCAAATAAGATGTCACTGCAGACCAACGATATATAAGACAGTGGGATAAAGTAAACAGCTTTGAGGATGACTCACTAAAATTACACCCAAGATCGTGCTACCTGTTTGGAATCATTAAACAGCAGCAATATGGGTTTTCATTTAATGCCGGATTTGTAACAGTGTGCTGCTTTCAGTACATTGCATCTATGCAGAAAATCCAATGCAGCTATTCATATCCCCACTTATAGCATCACACACTTTGCAAAAGGCTCATCTGGGAAAAGCCTTTGACGTGTACAACAAACTCGATAACGTCCCTGCTATCGCTTCATACATAAGTCCAACAACAGACACACTTTGGTCTCAGGCATTTCAGGGAAGCAAGCACAAAGAGCTGGCATAAGGTTGGGTGGGGGGGGGGTCGGGGTTGTGTGTATGTGTGTGTACTATAAGAGTGAAGGGGGGCTGAGTATGGTTGCAGTTTAAATGTAGTGACCACTCAATTCAAACCCATTCAGGCCTTCTAAGAACAGATCCCCACACCCCATTAGGACCTCTCCTGACGCACACATGCATAAAACATGGCAGCTGGATCTAAAAGCATACAGCCCATTAGCAGGCCTGGGCAAGAAAGAGAGAGACACAGAGAGACAGAGAGAGACTCATACAAAAACATCCTTGATCGAATGGATGGCCAAGCTTCTAGCACACTGCTGGTTTGCAAAGAGTTGGATTGTCATCTTTTTACCAGTGAGTACAGACCCAGAAAGGATAAAGCTGCATTGAAAATTATAGCACATTTATTACTAGTTAGTTGTCAACTATTTATAACAATATGGTCATTTAGCAGTCCAGTCATTGACTACAATTCAGAGACAGGGAAAAAGTACAAAAAATGGCTAGTGATGGAAAATAAGTTCACTTTAATCAGTCAGATGTGATGATTGCTGGATCACAGTTTCCAGGCACAGAGCCCCCTGTTCAGCCCTTCCAGTGGCTGAGTGTTCTGGCCATGTAATGTGAGGTGGCAGAGAGCCCAGCAATGCTGTAAATTATTTCTGACGGTAGGTTGGGGGACAAGAGAAAAAGACTTGCAGTCCCCGGAGACAGACAGTGCATGGTGTGGAGATATGGGGCCTGCTCCTATATCAAGAAATGAAGGGAGGCCTGCGTGTTCTCCCGGCCCTGCAGGAACGCCGGTCTGTTTTGCAAGTTTGAAGCCATTCTGCAGTCTGCAAAATGTGTCTAACAGCCATGCCTGGCCAGATGACCGGGGGCCTCTCTGCGGGGGAACGGAGCATTTAGCAGACTAATCATAATATGCTCCAATGCATAAGTGAGATCTAACTTCTGTCTCTCTCCCTACTCACTTACTCTCCCCCTCTCTATCTCTCTCTCTCTTTCTATCTCTACACACAACACAAGCAATTTTCTACAGCAAATGTAAAAGTACAGGAAGCTTGTATGTTACAGTAACACTGCCGCTAAAAGGCTAGTAAAATGCTATTCATGAGATAATAATAATGATTATATTCTAAGTATGAGGTTTCTTTATTCAGTGGTAATTTTGTTTATGCAACGCATGGTAGTTCATGGTTTTCTGCAGATGAGACCACATTTTACCACATACCTCTAACTTGTCATGTTAGGAATACTTTCCCTTATACATAATGTAGGCTACTCAAAAAACATAATGGCCTGTGTAGGTGTTTGTACTGTATGTGTAGGTGTGTTGGGGAGGTTGGCGTTTCCACTAAATTCGAGCTTTGGACTTATCATTTTTGTTGCACATACACCCTCTCCTCTCAGGCACAGCAGAGGCAGTATAGCACACATGCTGCAGCAGCGGTGCACTGGGCCGCACGCGCAAACTGGCATACACGGCTACGCGCACAGCACAGTCACACCTCGGCATGGTCACAGTCTACCTAAACGGTTCATTTTAGCCCCCCCACCCCGCGGTAGGCTGCATGTGCCGCGGCAGCATCGCTGATCGGCCCCATCATACATCCAGGAAATATCTGCAGCGGGCAGCGGCACTGTGCTGTAGGTTGTTATTACGAAGGCTGGCTGCCGATCGATAAACGCAACACCCCCCCCCCCCCCCAATACTCGTTTGACATACCAACGGGGAAGCCCTTGCTCATAAATCAGGGCATTTCTTTACAAAGGAATCACTCACCCGATGTTGCTCAAAGCCTGCTCGAACAGCTCCGTCTGCAAGATGTTCTGAGGCGCGGAGAAAGCCCCGTTGAAATGTGATAAAACCGAGCTACAGAACTGACGCAATGTCTCGAACTGCATTTTCCCCCTCCGTTCGCTTTTATCCTCAGTAAATGATCACTCTTTTTCTTTTCACCAACAATACATCCCAAAGCCTGCGCTCTCTTCGGACGCCCCCCCTGCACACATATATACCTCCTCAGTATTTTTGATATTATTATTATCTTCCCGGGGGGCGCATTAAACGCAGAAAAACCTATCAAGTTCCATATTTCTCCGGCCGCTCCTGGTAAAAAGTGTCCTCAGATGAGCCGCATTCCAGGCGGGAGGCTTCGGTCATAATGCTTCGGACTTGAAGCGAGAAAAATAAGGTGGTGCCGATAACGAGCCTTTTCTTCTTCTCGCCGTGGCAAAAATCTCTTCTCGGTGTGCAGGAAGAGGCGAAGGAGCGCCCAGAGGAGAGAAGGAGCGGAGAAGCATCCTACACGGCGGCCAGCAGCGGCAGCAGCAGCATCCCTTACCGGCGCATCAGCTGCTGCCTCACATTCAACTCATATTTCCCGTCGCCTATGAAGAGCACACACCCGCGCTAACACACACACACACACACACACACACACACACACACACACACACACACACACACACGCACGCACGCACGCGCACACACACACACACACTACGCGGCTGATATGCAAGTGTGCGCACTCTTTGCCATCATCTCTCCATCCTTTTTCATACTCTGTTTGATAAAGCACAGTGATACAGGGGAGAGAGGGTTATCCCTTTATATTCCATATCGGCTCCTCATCAGTAACAGCAGATGACAGCCCTAATATCTCTGAAAGGTTGAGTGTCTGCCTGTGAGGAAAGGGCACACATAAAAGGGGGCTTTTCCCAAAGGGGTTACTTATTTTCATTTTGTTCAGTCAGTTGTTTTTCATGTAGCCTAACTTTAAAAGTGTCAAAATTAGTTGAAAAATGTGCAGCGAGGTTGAAGAGGTTCCTTAAAGCTGCTGATGCAAAGGATTTTGATTAAGTATTTTTACAGGACAATCAATAGATGTGGTACTTGAACATGGAGCTATTAGCTTTCTGATGGGTTCCTATAAATGAGTTCTAATATAAGAATACATTTCCTGAGCCGGAACATGTCTCTGTCCTGAGGGATCAAATATACGAACCAACAGAATACGTGGCTATTCAGCAATTAGTTAGTTAGTTACTAAATAATGCAGACTTTATTTAAGGATTATGACAACTGTATGTTTTATAGAATGAAGATAGAAGAGTGATAACGTTATCAGTGTGTTGATATTGACTCTGCATAACTCAATGAAACTCATCTGTTTAAACTAAATCAGTTACAATGCTTGGTTCTTGTGTAAGTTATAGTTGCCAAATTCCCCATTCTCAGGTTAATCGCTTCCCTACAAAAACAAGCACCTGGTAGAGCAAATGTTCAAGCATGCTGAAAACCTTTGCATGACACATTGCATCAATTTGACTATAACAGATTAAGGCTATAACAATATTAAAATAAGACCCAGCATGAAATAAGCCCAACATAAAAGTAAAAACTAACCATGTTATTACCCAACTGTCCTGCACTACTTCACTTACTGAAGTTCTACACATACAGTTTCACAATGAAAAGGGGAATTACGGTATGTTGTGTTCACTTGTGATTTACTCAATATTGAGTTAAAAAGGATTTGTTTTAAGTCTTTCTCGGTGTCTGAGCGCTCATGTTGCTTGCACACTGGACTCCAGAGTGTTGTAAGGTTAACACATTTTTGTAAGCCAAACCAGAAATTAGATGAATGGCAAAGGGATGTTTATTGGCTTTTGGACTTTAGGAGATGATCAACTTTGGCAAACAACATTTGACATACTACAGGCTTTGTTCAACACGATAATGTTCTATATTAATTCTGAAGTATTAATGTAATAGCCAGAAGCTTAAAAATTCTCGTGTGAGGTATTTACTGACGTATCTAAACTCTCATGCAGGAAAATACGTATCTTTTAAGTTTGCTGTTACCACAGACCTTATATCAGGCATGACAAACCCCATTAAAAAAACGTACTAAAAGACGAAGGAACCGCAAGTTACAAAATGCTAACACAATCCCGGGCTCAATCGTGCAGCACTCTATTGCAAAGTTTAGATTCTGCAAAATCATCATCCCATGTCAGTAAACATAATACTAAATGATAGGAATAATCATGAAAACCATAAAAAACTGAACTGGCAACTCCTCCTCCTAAGGCAGCGTTGTGACCCTGGCTTCATTATGGGGCCTGTTTGGGTACAGTAAAGCAATGATAAACTGAACTGTGCAAAGCTGGACTGGGTTGGGCTTAATGTCAAAGGGCCGGTCCGGACAGAGTGTGTTCCTTTTCTAACATTTCTGGCAGGATCCGCTAAGCGTGTTTAAAAAATGCAGAATCTGAAGAAATTCCACCGGCAAGTATATTCCAACCCCAGTGTAATCATTGTTGTTTCATCAGCCTCACCCAACACTGCAGCTGTCCCAGCATATCTGTGTGTTCATTCAAATGACACCTTAGAGACCAAGATAAATTAGAAGCCTTCCCCAAGTTATTTCCCCTTATAAATAGACTGTCAGCTTTTTCCCCTCCTTTCTGTAGCAGAACAGATCCAGGAGTTAATTTAAACATTCTTTAAGATTAATGAAAGTGGGTTTTGGTGCTTATGCAGTGGGAGTTCTATTTATGGACTCTCTGCTATCCATCATGAGCATTTTCCCGTAAATATTTCGACAGCCAGTTTCTTGTTGTGTCACTGCGTATGTATAGGCAATGCCAAAGCAAGAATCGCTCCTCGGTATTACCTCCACCTCTCCAGCCATGCAATCAATTAATATACAGTGGCAAGGGCCTGGACTGGAACAGAAAGTGACTGGTTGCCTGAATGCTTGGAGCAGTCTGATCTATAGTCTGATATATAGTCGGTCTGATCATCCATTAAAACCACCTTAAAGCAGCCAGCCATTTGCGGAGAGAAGATGGATAATGTACTCCAGTTGCACAGAGACACAAAATGCTGTTTCCCTGCATCACTCTTAAATGTTTATAGAAGTGTATCCTTGATTACAATTCGTAGTCACAAATGATGCTCTGCTCTTTATTGTGCTGCTGTGCGGTGTGTTCTAAGTATAGAAACATAACGGTTGAAGGAGAATTTTGCATAGCTGTAACGTAGCCTCATTACACTGTGAAAGCACTAAAATGTACACTAATCTCGGACACACTGCTGGATAATGGGCAGGTATGTGAGACATATCCGTCAAAGCATCCATTTGGAGGGAAATATCTGGCCATTATATCAAGTTGATTTTTTTCTCCAAAAGAACTACCATGTTTGCAGCTTCAGCGTATATTGGGAGGTGGATACAAGGTTGCTCTGACAGAGAGAGGACACAGAAATAAAGAGTTGTGTCTCCAAACATACTGGCGTGTGCACTGTGCATGCTGGTTTTGTCCATGTGCTATAGACAGAAGGGGATATGGCCCACCAGATGTACACTTACAAGGTCAGCAGAGAGAAGTAACAGGGATATGGTCTGGATGAGGATAGACGAAAGAGAAATAGGGGATATGTTCACTAAGAGAATCATCGCCTCCTAAATGACTTAACTTTACTGATCATAGGTTTGTTGTCCCATACTGAAGACAATGTGATACATTCTGTCCTAATTAGTCTAAAATAAGTCTAGTCTAGTATAAGCATGGTCTTAGACAAACAAATGTTACCTTACATCTGAGCAAACAAGGACACAGTAGAAGTTGTCTGAAATGGCTCTCTGCTCCATACATTTCTATAGTGTGTCCTCTTTCTTCTTGGCAGAAGAAAGAGGACGGAGCCCCCATGTAGACATCGAAGTAACTTCCCTATTTCACAGAAGTATCAAGAAATAGTAAACCAGATATAAGATTCACAAACACAGCATGTCCGTGGTGTCAGTGTCTGAGAGAGTGCTGCTCAGAAGGGGCACACGAGAAATGGATCACAACGTTCAGCACTGAAATTCAGCCTGCTCCTGCTTTTCTACTCCAAAATAATCTTTACAAAGCTCAATTCACGTGCATTATAGGGCTTGATCTTGCCGAAAAACATATGTGATGAAAAAACATGTTCTTACGTTTTTAGAATGCAGATTTACATGATCACCTTCAGCACCGTCTCTTAGCCAAACCATCTGTGTTGTGAGCCGTGAGCGGTGTGTGTGTGTGTGTGTGTGTGTGTGTGTCTGTGTGTGTGTGTGTGTGTGTGTGTGTGTGTGTGTGTGTGTGTGTGCGTGCGTGCGTGCGTGCGTGCGTGCGTGCGTGCGTGCGTGCGTGCGTGCGTGCGTGCGTGCGTGCGTGCGTGCGTGCGTGCGTGCGTGCGTGTGTGTGAAGAAGAGAGTGGGTGGATGACTTCTGTAGAATTGCTGAGTTAGTGCCAGAAACATTATCTGTGTCTCTGTCCTCTTTATAGGCCTCATGGGCTCCATGTACAAGCCGTTTTATATGAGGTCTTGACTGGACTTGGAGACATGTCTCTTATTCTAGGCCTGAATCACTGTTCTGCACTACATATACAACGGCTGCATACTGTATATCAGTAGTAAAGCTAAAAGGCTCTCAGGCAGTAATTGGCATCATGAGATCTTCACATATGTGATGTATAAACAGCGGTCGGTGTCAAGTACAACTAAGTACATTTACTCAAGTACTGTACTTAAGTACAATTTTGAGGGACTTGTACTTTACTAGACTATTTACATTTTGTGCTACTTTGTACTTCTACTCCACTACAGTTCAGAGGTAAATGTGTACTTTTACTTTACGACACTTATTTACTATCTTTAGTTACTTTACAGATGTGGATGAATGATGTGAAATATAATCAAGTGTTAAATCAGACTTTAGTTCCACCTGGAGTAAATTCACAAGCTACCCTGCAGTATACAAAGTCATTCAAACTAGTTGCACCTTTACCAGCTTTGAGAACACTTTCATGATCAATAATTATAATCAAAACATATGATATATGATTCTGTAATGGGCCAATTTGCATTATGAGTATTTTTTCTTTCAGTACTATAGTATATTTTGATACTTTTGTACTTTTACTTGAGTAACATTTGAATGCAGGACTTTTACTTATATCAGAGAATTACACTATGGTACTTCTACTTTTACTAGAGTACAAGATCTGAGTACTTCTTCCACTCTGTGTATAACTCTCTGATCAAACCATGTTCTTGGCTGTACACAATAATAAAAACGACTCAGTGTGACTCATATGGAGCATGTAGGTGTATTCTCCCACATATAGAGCGGAGCTGTGTGTGGATGCGTACCTCAGCCCCGATCCGTTGTCAAGGGACGCCTGTCTGGGCAGGAGCCCGCCGTGAGGTCTGCTTCTGTCTGACCCTGGTGTCAGGTCCCCTGGGGCTCCCTGGTAGGGGTAGAGAGACGGGTCCTGCAGTTTGGCCTTCTTCCCCTGCGGCCCGCCCTCAAACACACCCCGTACCTGACCGGGCTCCGGGCCGTAGAACCACGCTCCCGACTTGGTGAGGATTTCTTGTTGTTTTCGGCACAAGTTGCATACCCACATAACCTGCAGGGAAGAAAAAGACGGGTGTCAATATTTTTGGAATGGAGGTTGACAGGCACAGGGTGTCTTATAAAACCTATGATGAGCTGGTATGGAGCGATGCGGGTGTTTGATATGTGAAGATGTAACATATCGCTGTTGCTGGGTGAAAATCATTTTTACGTTCAGAATGTTATTGGGTGTTTCAGTACCAACTCGTCTGTTTTGAACAAATTCAAATAAATCAACATATTTGGGGGTTTGATTTTTCACCCCACAGCGACCATATTGATAAACACCATGGACACCATGTTAATGAGGTGAAATATGAAATATTGTACACATACAGCAGCCTTTTGATATAGTTGAAATGTAAATATGTCATGTTTATTTTTCATTGTTGTCATACATTTTGAATGTGAGAGTCCAAATTCTACCCTTAAAATCTCCTATTGTAGATTAAACGTATTGATAAGTAGACACAATCATATAAGTGTTAGTCCACTAAGATTTTCCTGGACAAATCTAGTACGCATGTTTTCCAAGTTGAAAATAAGCAAAATTGAATTATTTCCTATGATGCTGTACATTATTATTAAACTATTGTTTCTGGAGTACTGAGCTGTTACATGACGACCGAGGCTAGAGTAAGTAGAGAATGCTATTGCAGTTAATGCACTTTGGTAAGATAAATGGAAAGGAATAACATGTTCCTTCTGTTACGGACCGGGGAGATGGAGGTTTGTCCTGCTCTGTGATGTTGTGCCTTTATCTGCTCTACACTGCAGTCCCAGCAGCCAGCTCACCACATTAGCCTCATAAATCCAGGAGCAGACAGGAGCCCTGATCACTACCACACATGTACAGACAGAAACACACACTAAGCTAAGCTAAGCTAAGCTAAGCATGCTGTCGCGACTTGATATGGTTTATTTGTGCTTATTGTTATTTGGTTAGAAAAAAAAGCTTAACTCACTCATGCCTGAGCCACATGACCACACCTGTCTAGTTAAAAAAAAGAGCTACTTTAAGATAAATCTAAGTGTGTCTGAAAGGACTAGAAGCTAGCCAAATGATTGACAGGCCAGACAGCCAGTTGGGCGGCCAAGAGCTACTGCAGCCCCTCGCCATCAACCCCACTCACCCACTCCCTGCCTTTACAGTCCCAGTGCTGAGTCAGTGCATTACTGTTATTAGTGAGAGCGAGCTCTGAATATTGCCTCACCATCACTGGGACTGTGGATCGCCGTTTTTTCAGTAAGCCTTGAATCAAATGAGAATTGACTGATATGTTATTTCTAGATTAACTGAACTAAACTGAGCTGGTCTGTGCAGTTAGAGGCTGCAGTTGTTCAAAGGCTGGATTTGTAACCAAAAGCCTAAACCACAACTGCTTATCTCAGGGACTGGCTGGAGCAGAAGCTCTGGGTGATACAAAGCAATAACTGCTGTGGGAGAAACCCAACAAACGATCACAGGGGCACGCCTTGTTTAGTATTTGCACCAGCACACAGATACAACAAGAATTATTATTGGGGTGCATGGGTGGAGTAGAAGATAAATTAGTTGTCTAATTGAATTGCATTACACATGTCAGTGCTGATGGGTGGGAAGTCAGTGGGAGATCATGTCCTTGTCACTGAACTAGTGACTTACTGGTTGGTCGCGACAGGGCACTTGTACAGAAATGTGAGGGATTTCACAAACTACCACCACATTACAGCCTCCTCGTGAAGCTCCGAGCTGCCGGATGTCTGTGATCTCCTCAGACTAACAGTGTGAAATAGCAGAAACAAGTAGAGTGTGTTTGGTACTCAGCAGTGATGAGGGAGTGAATAGGAAGATATAATTGGGATTGGGAATCAGTGTTTCATATGTGCACATTTACAGGTGAAACACACAAAATAGAAGGGATAAGAAGATAAAGGATTGTATTGCCCGTAATGATCCCATGACTGTTACAAATTCATTCTGCCTTGACATAAGTAGGCAGCATACAAAAAGTAAACGGAGGTTTGCAAGGCAATGAAGAATGACACTGACTCAGCAGCTATAGGCTGATATTTCAAATATTTCCTTTTTTTAAGATAATAAAATAAAAGGCAACAAACACTGCAAAGGCTATATGCTTTCTTCATCTGCAATAGAGCATGGAATCACAGGAAACATCTCATATGTTGTACGGATGTGGTAATCATCTTAAAACCTACTAATGAAGTATTTAACATTTTGAATGTAATTCAAAAGGCTTCACAATCACACATCATTTACTGGCCTATGTGACATCGCCCAACAGCCATCAGTGTTACAGATGGGCTGTAACTGTGCTGACACACAATGGAAGCAGGGAGGCTACAAATTGTGCTTTATGTCTCCCAGAGGAGAGTAGCCAGTGAGGCCATGACTGCCTCTTTAACTGGGGTCATGTTGAGAGCTCTGCTGTGAACCATGAGTCAGCAGCTAGGACCCAGGAGCCACAGAGGCCAGTTGTGTTCTGCTAATCAACCACACATCACTTCCTGTACCTGGAAGTTACACACTTGCAGTGCACATGTAAGACATTGCACACAGTGTACTTGACATTACCTCAAATTAAAAGTCAGTCTGGGGAATATTTCTCCAAATGGAATTATCACATGGAGAGGAAAATCAGAAGCAGACAATATGTTCTTATTCTGCACCTCCAGTAGTTTAAACATATGAAAAAGCATACTTATTTACTTCTAAATGAACCATTTCCTAAAAAATAGTAATCATTAGCATTAACAAAATGTTACACGCATTTAATTTCATTTGTGCTCTATTCATAAAACAGATTATGTGGTTAATTACTAAAATCTGCTCTTCTCTCTCCAGCGGCCCAGTTCTTTCACAGTAAACTGCAGCCTATGACCTATATATTTACCCCAATTAACATAGAGTCAGTTGCTGTGCACATCTCCTGTCTGCCAATAATATGCTCAGCCTAGGACTGCACATTTCAAGCTCAACACAAATCTGCATGGGTCAGTTAATGTTGAGAACATTGTGCCTCTGACATCAATACTTACATACTAACAAGACAGGAAGAGAAAACGTAAGGTTAAAGTCACTGCTGGGCTAAATCCTTATTTGTCCAAAACATTACATGAACTACAAAAACTGCATTTGAGATGATCTAAACTGATTCTTTAAGCCATGTGGGCCCGAGAGGATATAATAGTTTTATCAACTGATCAACTGTAGAAACAGGGGCCTATCTAGGCTGTGACAATATCTAGGTTGAAATAGTCTTAAGCATTATGAAATGTTATTCTAAATGAAAGAATAAATTATCCAAACATCAAGTCTTATCATAACCACAATGCTGTATCCCACCTAATATGTGTCAGTAACATAAACATGTTTTATTAATTACACTTTTTGGTCGCACTGGCAGAGCCATCATGAGGCTGAAACAGGAAGCAGGCTAAAGACAGTGTGAGGTCAATCCGCACTGACAGGAAACTGTAGTAGCCCTCATTCCCTAATAGCCCACATGGACTCCACAACAGATGCATGTATGCACAATGGCACACACGTATGAGAGGCCGTCTAGCTCACAACTCATACTTGGTCTTACAAACAATATCAGAATCTCACATGTAGACCACCAGACTCTTTCACACACAGTATCATACCGTCTTTAACGTACTGTCATTCCTTCCTTCATTTACTATCATACTATCATACATAAATAACTATTCTCTCTCACACACTACTATATACCCTCATACATACTACAATTCCTCTCTCACATACACTATCATTCTCTCTCACACACACTACTATATACCCTCATACATACTACAATTCCTCTCTCACATACACTATCATTCTCTCTCACACACACTACTATATACCCTCATACATACTACAATTCCTCTCTCACATACACTATCATTCTGTCACACACACACTACTATATACCCTCATACATACTACAATTCCTCTCTCACATACACTATCATTCTCTCTCACACACACTACTATATACCCTCATACATACTACAATTCCTCTCTCACATACACTATCATTCTGTCACACACACACTACTATATACCCTCATGCATACTACAATTCCTCTCTAACATACACTATCATTCTCTCTCACACACACTACTATATACCCTCATGCATACTACAATTCCTCTCTAACATACACTATCATTCTCTCTCACACACACTACTATATACCCTCATACATACTACAATTCCTCTCTAACATACACTATCATTCTTTCTCACACACAAAGTTTTCTATCTTGCCTACATTACTAGAGTATTATATTGTAGTATGATGTTGTCTGTAAGTGGGAATAATAGTGTTTCTAAGAAAGTACATAAAGGCCATAAATCAAACTTACTTACATACCAAACTGTACTTTCTTAGAAACACTATTATTCCCACTTACAGACAACATCATACTACAATATAATACTCTAGTAGTGTATGCAAGATAGAAAACTTTGTGTGTGAGAAAGAATGATAGTGTATGTGAGAGAGGAATTGTAGTATGTATGAGGGTATATAGTAGTGTGTGAGAGAGAGAATGATAGTGTATGTGAGAGAGGAATTGTAGTATGTATGAGGGTATATAGTAGTGTGTGAGAGAGAGAATGTATAGTGTTATGTGAGAGTAGGAATTGTAGTATGTATGAGGGTAATAGTAGTGTGTGTGTGGAGAGAGAATGATAGTGTATGTGAGAGAGGAATTGTAGTATGTATGAGGGTATAGTAGTGTGTTGGTTGAGAGAGAGAATGATAGTGTATGTCAGAGAGGAAATTATAGTATGTATGAGGTTATATTAGTGTTGTAGAGGAGATATATGATGAAGTGTATTTCATAGAGGAATTGTAGTATGTATGAGGGTATAGTAAGTGTTGTGAGAAAGAATTATAGTGTATGTGAGGAGAGGAATTGTAGTATGCATGAGGGTATATAGTAGTGTGTGTGAGAGAGAATGATAGAGTATGAGTATGTATATAGTAGTGTGTGTGAGA